TCATTTATGTGACCTAAATTAACGTGCCACTTATATAATTGACTTGAATAATGTGATTTTTCTGTTTTTGTATGTTTTATTTCAGTACGTATATAGTACAGGTTATTTTCCTTTTTCGCCTCCATAATCTTTTTGTTTTCTTTATTGTAAATGACGGCAATGTTTTCGAAAAAATAAACCTTACACCCTTTATCAGTTAATTTTCTCACTGAAATTAAGTTTGTCGACAGCCCAGGAACGAACAATGTTTCGTGTAGATTTATTACAGTGTTTTTGTGGCTGAAGGTGACACTGCCTTTGCCACATATTTTCTCAATTTTATTAAACGAGGCTAACATTAGTACACTTGCGTCAGTGCTGAAAATGTTATCGAACATTTCTCTACTGTAACAAATGTGTGCTGTGCACCCGCTATCGAGACACCATTTATGAACATCTTTTTTACCTAATTCTGGTGTTGAAGCAAATTCGTTTATATAAAGGTTTTGTACATTTTCATTTTTTACCTTCTTAATTGTATTTTTTTTTTTGAACCAGCAGTCTTTAATTATATGTCCAGTTTTGTTGCAAAACCCACACTTAAGGAATTTTTTGCTGGTTTTCCCTTTTGACTTGCTTGTGAACATAGCCTCATCTTCAGACTTTTGACTAACCACTCTTGCCTCAGACTCTTCTAAAATTTTTACTTTGAGTTCTTCGGGTGAGGGCAGAGAGTCCCTTGATTCGATTCCAATCCGGAAACTATCAAATGCGGTAGGAAGACTGTAGAGCATCATAACGCTCAGAAGGTCGTTGTGAATTTTGATTTCCATATTAGCAAGTTTATCCACGGTGTCCATGAAATCATTTAGGTGCTCTCTCATAGAAACATTTTCTGCTGATCTAGCCTTTTTTAGTATGAGCTTCTTTAAGAGAGTGGCTTTCCTAGCTGGTCCTTTACTTTCGTAGATCTTCGCTAATAAGTCCCATAACTCTTTGGATGTGGTGGCGTTTTTTACCTGTCGCAGCTCCGGTGGCGAGATTATAAGCAGCAAGTCTGATCGCGCAAGTAAATCTTGTTCGTCGAACAGGTCAATCGCCGCCTGGTTACCCTCTCGCTTTTGCGTGCCGGAAACGTATTTCCACAGTCCATTTTTTATGAGGACAGCTTGTGCTTGTACCTTCCACGTGTCATAGTTGTCCTTTTTTAAAGGTTCAATAGAGTAAATACTGGCTTTGGCCATGGTCAATACACGAGGAGAAAATGGGTGGACCACGTGGTACTCAAGTGTTTTCCTTTTTTACTGTCGGTCGGGGCCTGGGCCCATAACCTGTTGAAACGCGAAGCTTGTTGACCGGAGCGACAAAGAAAAACGATGAGGATAAAGTATAATGAAAACTTTATGCTTTATTTAATTTAGTTTAATTTGTTCACAAGAGAAAAATGTAATGGCGGTTTGTCTAATAAAAAGGCTATGACGTATGTATGGGTTCTATTCGCTAATAAATATGTACATATACATATGTGTTTGACATATGTACGATGTTGCCAGAGAGTGTCTTTTCTAACAGTTTACATACACCCTCTCACCAGCTGCCCGGCAGGATATCACCCTGAAATAGGTGTGCTACTCAGAGGTGAAAACCGTATGGTAGTTGGTGACTTTAACGCGCACCACGATCTCTGGCACTCAAGCCTGTCAAATGATCGTAGGGGAATACATCTGGCTGAGCAGATAGACGATTCGACATTCAGCACAATTAACGACGACGCACCCACCAGGATTATGGGCAGCTGC